CCTCCCCACGAACCGCTCCTTCCTCATTGGCTCTAAACCAATGACTCCCTGGCGGCATGCAGGGGAAAGAGCCGAATGGTTCCCATCGACAGGGTCGCTTTATACTTCTAACGACGACTCCAACGCCCAAGCGGTTGCGATGATCAATTGCCCGTTGCTCATCACGCTGGGGATTGCCTCGTTTTGCCTTGAATATACCATGGCACCTTATTGGTCATTGGTCATGAAGGAGAAGGAAATTCTGGCGGCTGAGGGAATCATGTGCGCATCCAATAGTCGACTCGGTCCTGGATCATTGCATGGTGGACGAGAGGGAAAAATTGGATTCGCGCATGGCACGGTGACACGGTTGGTATATATGGTGTGCACACCTTGATGTGCGCTTATCTGAGTGCATTGAATTGACTTTGTTTTTTTTTTGATGACATCCCAGACCTACTCGAGGAGTTGATTTTCTCATCTACCAACTCTATTTACCCGACTAACTGGATACGGTAGGTATCACCAAGGAAAGAGCACCCATCACCATCTACATGATACCATATCCGAGAAAAGTCTCGCGTGTGGGGCTGAAAATAGCCTTGCCACGTCGACGCTCATGCCTGATTATCAACATCCACCACCTTGCGGGGTAACACTGCATCCACAGTCTGTCGATTCCAACAAGTCGGACTCGGCTCCAAGACGCTACATCGGCATGACTATCCATCTACCCATCCCATGTCGGGAAAGGATTCGCACATCTATCGACGGCAATCTTCCAAGTCTTTCCAGCTCACTCCATGGGAAAGAAGTAAGACTAGAAGAAATTTACAGAATGTACCTGCATGGAGTATTAGTCAACCGTTTACTACAACACACCAAGAATGAGCTTGATGCCTACCTAAAATAAGGCGAATACTCACCCATTTCCGACAGTTGTTGCTCTGTGTACTCTCCTTCCAAGTCCTCAGGTAGAAGACGATCTTTCTCAAGGGTTGCAGCCCGAAGGCAAAGCCAATTAAGAATTGTCACTCCAACGCCGCCGATCATAACCTGGAAGTGTGTTGTTAACATCGACACTTTCAAGTATGATCACTTAAGGTGGAAAGGGGAAGCACATACAAACACTAGAATAAGAATGAATCCTGTTCGATACGTAGGCGCTTCATTTGCAAGAAATCTGTCAAGTCAGTTAGCTATCCCACCTCAATTGAATTGCGGTGGAAAGCAAACATATTCGCTCTAACCGTTCCACCAACAAGCTATTATTCTGAAATCAATATCAACAGCATCAACAAAACAAAACAGAAACTCCACAGCACTGAACAATAAAAGCACCCACCTGTCCCAAAGTTGACTGCCATCCCATAGCAGCCGCCCTCTTGGAAGGATTTCTCACATTACTTCCCAACCAGGACCCCACAGCCGGCGCCTGAACACACAAATGCGTCAGCACTTCCCCTACTACAGTACCATCCTCTTCATACCCAGGAAATTTACACACCTGCATATTATACCCCGCAACCACCAGAAACAACGCAAAATACGCGACTCCAGAGAGCTTCTCATGAGACAAGCAAGGCTAAAGAATAATAAGTCCCGTGGTGCCGACAGCATCTATTCGAGTTTTAGTTTTGGAGACGATGGGATTAGGGGTGTGGGTAAGCAGGTAATGGTGAGGGACGTACAGCTTATAAGAAGGGAGCGAGCACGACAGAGATACTTATCAGAGTACATCGCTATCTCGATGACACAGAAAAATGCAAAGACGTATGGTGGAGCCGTCAGAGCTTGGGCTTTGATGGAAGTGTAGCCGAGGGATTTAACCATGGTCGCCAGAGTGTAGTTCACCCTATTTCTGTCAACCTTTCTCTCCCTCTTCCATAACCAAATTCAATCTAAGCCAGAACAGGGGGCCAAACTCACGAATTCGTCGGTATCGTCCCCCCAAAAGCAAGAAGCGACGCAATACAACTACCCCAGCATATCAGCAAACTCCCAAATGCAAACCTAAACCCAAACACCCCTTTAAACATCAAAATCGGACAAACACAATAAGTCTTCCAATCCCTCATAGCCTCCCACAAACACCCCCCCTTAAACTCATCATCCGGCGCCACAGGACCATCCTGATACTTCACCCGTAGCTGCAAGAAGCGCATCTCATCCTCTCTGAAGAGGCGCGATGACCATCTCTCAGGGAAGTCGACGCAGAAACGGAGACCGATGAGGCCGAAGATGATGGTTAGTGCGCCTTTGATTATGAAGAGGAATCTGGGTTTGTGAGGATGGCGAGGAAGTGGGTTGGTTTTTTCTTTTTGGGTGGAGGGAGAGGAGGGGGGGTTACTAATTGCCATTGTTTGAGACCTAAACGGCCTTGGAGACCGCCTACGGCATAGGCGAGGAGGCCGCCCTATGTTGGTCAGTAGGAGCACGGGAAGAGATAGAGAGTAGGTGGACGTACGAAAGCGCCAGAGATCATAGAGGCTCTGTTCGGGGTTATTAGTAGACCCACTATAGCATGGCCATGGAATGGGAATAGTTCTCTCATCTTACGAATACCAATACGCACACCTCGTCTGCAGTTCTCCACTAACATACCAATAACTCAACGTATAAAAACCTATACGTGAATATACCGATCAGCGTTCCTCCCTGATAACCTGCTAATCATCCGTGATTGCCTCCTTCCCTCCCTCGACGAGTCAACGTTCCTTATTATATCAAAAGCAAAAACAAATTAAAGCTGCGCTACTCACATCCTACTCATAATCAGCATATTCCATCCATCTATCTTCAAAAAAATAAATATGTCCTAACTATACGAACCTTGAAACAACCCCGCCTCAAAAACTACCAATAATACCCGTGCGACGCAATACTCCCCATAACTCCCCACCCATGCACTCCCTAGTGTCACGCAGCCCCAGCAGATTACTAGGGAGGAGAGCCAGCGTCGGGGTCCGTGTTTGCGGAGGAACATGCTGGTGGGGATGGGGTAAACTTGAGTTTTGGTTTGTTTTGTTTTGGGGGTGGAGTGGGGGGTGTGGAGTTGAGGTGTTGAGGTGCAGGAGATGGAGTTGGTATAAGAGATTTGGGGCAGTGAGGGAGTGAGGGGGTAGAAAGTGAAATCTCGGGATCATGATTTTGTTTTGGCAGGATGGGTTGAGAAATGAGTATCTCTCTCTCAAAAGAAATAAAGAGGGAAAAGATATACTTAGACGGTGTCTCAAACCCTGCATAAGCTAACAATATCTTAAATCTGTTGGGTTGAAGGGGATGAAAGGGATGGAAGGTAAGCGAGAACATACTGAAAAAGAACCATGTCAAGGCTAAATTGAATTCTCCATCACTCATCTCGGTATCCGGGAGAAAACTGTAGATCTTGACATTTCCCGCGTTGGATTCTATGGATTATCCTTTCCTAAGCTTCTTGACACACCAATTTCCTTATCCCCCTTAATTGCCTTCGCTCCCTTGCTATAGTGATTTTTGGAATACGGAACTGAACTTACTATCTAGCGAATTGAGAATGTAGAAGATGAATGACATAGGGATAATCCTTAAGTCCACTATGGTATTTGTATGTTATTGTCATTAGTCATGTCGAGTGTTTTTGACAAGGGAAGAGTGGCAGGGGGGTGTACGTAACCGCACAATCCTCTTGTACTCCTTTGGATTATCTTCAAAATGCCGTTTCAAGCCAAGGAACTCGATATATTCCACCGCGTGCTCGGGGGCAAGGGATGGGAATGTGGTTGGAGATGGGTTTACTGGGCATGAATAGATGGTTTGTTTCTCCTCGCTGTCGGCTGAAAGGGATGTCTTGGTGTGCATCTTATGCGTGGAGATTTCCATCTTCGCGATGCGTGTGAGAGGGCTGGGGTGTAAGTGAAGAATAGTCCTCGTAGTGTAAAGTACAGGCTAGGGAATCTGGGATTCCTCAATGATTTTGATATCTAAATGGAGGTTTGTAGCCTTGATTCTATGCTTCCACAGTAGTACAATCCTATCTCCTATCTTCTCGGCAAGATCGGCTCTAATGCCGACCACCACACGCAGAAAAGATCTACTTCAAACAGCTACTGATATGGCGGTTGAAGAATGGAGCGCTCACGATATACTCGAGTATCGTGCAGAGTATTATACAGAGTAGCTGGTGTTATCGGGCTTCTGGCACGACTAATAGGGAGGGAGAACGCCCCAGGTCTCTCGCTTAGGGTAATCTTACTGTACTCGGGTGCTACAGTGGGGTTCCACCCACCTTTGGATGTATCCGTCCAAGTATCAAGTACAGTATGGTAAATCGATCACCTGATGAGTGAATCCACGCGCATCAAACGTGGTCTTGATATGCTGATGCAAAGACGGAATGAACTGCAGGATAGTAGAAAGGAAGATATTGTTGAATCGCCGTTGAAAACGTGGAGAGTGATTTGTGCGTGTTTTCAGGTGTGAAAAGGGGTATGTGAACGTTAAATATTAAGACGCGAATGGAAATCACAAACTTGGTGCTCTCTACAAACGGGTGTTCGATCTACAGTCCAGGAACCTCAAGTAGTAGTGTATGTTCCACCAGGCACCAATCCAACAATACCGTGCCGGCGCTATAGATGGCCGGTTTGAGAGCCACTGCTGATTACCAAACTTCTGGGAGAAAACGAGGTCCTCGATAGCCATTCTATGATTGTGGAGAAGGAAGGGTCACAGAAGCAGTTGGTAGAGCACCAGATACGGGTTTAAGGAGCTGGAGAGATTTATTCGTGGTGTTAGAGATGGTAGGGGCAGTGCTAATTCGTTCTCACGCTTACAGTAGAAGATGGTGTGTAAAGTACAAGGCTTGTAAATATTGATTCTCCTCGCGCCGAGCGTCTAAGTTACCAGAAAGATTTCGATGTGATGATGAAACATCAACTACGATGGATGATTATTCGGGACACCAACATAATGTATCGGTCTCATACTCTCGTAAGCTAACTGCACTTTGATATGGAGATAGTTAACTTGGAAGTTCGAATATTAACACAACGCAACCTTGCCATGTTACAAAGGGGAAAATAGAAGAAGAGCAATTTTACTTGGAATATAACGTATTATCCTATATTTCTACTAGTGGACTAGAATGGAAGTCCTCGATTGGATTTCGACCTAGTAGCGCCAGGTATCCTCACTATGGAGAAAACCTAGTATACATTTAACATGTAACTTGTGAGCGAATTTCCCCTCTGCTTCATGTTACCCCCCTAAGGTTGAATATAGGTGCTCTATTCTGGTCATTGGAAATCAGTCAGGCGTCTCGTGATAGCTCACTAAATTTCATTGTGCTATTGCCTTATTATCGTGCTGTCGTCGATATTCTTGATGCTAATATATCACTACTGTTATTACGACCGAAACCTAATTAGAACTTGTGCTAGATTCTTATGGTTACACTTTCTGTCGTAGAACCTGTAGAAATCTACTCTCTACGAGTATACAGCTTAAAAAGGAGTCTCGTCAACCTTTGCTACTTACTTCACTCTACGATCTTAGCATTCTTCTCAGATACAATTTGATTTCAGCGGTATTTGAGTTGCTGTGAAAACAATACAAATCTAGACTATCTCCTCCCTTCATCGGGTTTTACCACCAAGGTCTCACACACATACGGGCTAGGGTAAGAGCGGGTGTGTGTAAGATCACTTTGCGATATATCATTTCGCCTCATATTGTTAATTCGTAGCCCAATAAATCTTCCAGCGATATCGAGTCACTTTCGTTATCAGCATTGCCATTTGTAGCAAAGGAAAGGTGGGGGTGTCGATTCTGTCGGCAAGTTGGCCGACGACGATTCTGAACAAGTTTGCATCGGTTCAATTACCTACATCTACTTTGTAAGCTTTATATATCCTCAGAATTCACAACACATAGTAACGATAGTAGACAACCATACCTATTTGAAAATGCCCAGTCAAATTGCAAAGCCAGCCAGCAATGGCCCCCTGTTTCCTGATTATCTTCGTAAGTTACCATTCAGGTCAGAACCCGAGGTCTAATTGAAACTCGTTCAGCACACTATGACCCCCTTGAAAAGATCGCGGCTCATTTTGGGCCCCTGCATGTTCATGGTTGGATGCCACATCCTGAAAAGGGCCCCGCGGAATTTGTCATCGTTTATGATTCGAAAGAAGACTTGAGATTGAGACGCTTCTGGGCCAGGAAGAATCCGATTCAATTCCATGTCGATCAGAGTCCTGAGTGTTAGCCACCTGGTATTACGTTTTTTGCGGTGATTGAACAGCCTGAGGGCGTGGGCGGTGATACTATCTTCGCGAGTACGGAGAGAGCGTTTATGAAGTTGAGTCCGAAGTTTCGTAGTAGAGTTGAGGGGTTGAAAGCTGTGCATACCACCGCGGCACAACTTTCTCGCGAGATCGAGGATAATAAGGAGAAGAGTACGGTGCGGAGACCGGTTACTACGTCTATTCACCCCGTCGTGACGGTTCACCCTGTTACCGGCGCGAAGAACCTCTTTGTCAATTCCTCATACACGAAGAGAATTGAAGGCTTTGACGATGATGAGAGTGAGTACCTCCTCAAGCTCCTGTTCAACCATATTGCGAGTGGTCATGATTTCTCGTGTCGTGTGAGGTACCAGCCTGGTACGGTGGTGCTTTGGGACCAGAGGGCTTGTCAGCATAGTCAAACGCTGGATTATGCGGTGAGGGAGAGACGACATGCGTTTCGGTTGACGTGTTTGGCGAATGTGCCGATACCTAGTAAGATTGAGGAGGAGGATGATGGGTGTGCATTGGAGGAGGGGAGGGAGATGTTGGGGTTGTGCTGAGATGGGTAGGGTGTCTGGAATGGCTTGGGTAGGATTGTTTTTGTTTTGGACATAATATTGATAGGCGATTCACTGAGCTGCCAGAATAAAGGTATCTCGACCACAATTTCTTTTGCAAAACAGGAGCATGTGAATGAGGCAGTGATGGATGTTATAAGGATACCCAAAGTGATTGGGTGAGTCAGGAGCGGTGAGATACTAAGTCACTTGGTATATAGTCATATCTTCGACATGAAAGTCCAGTCTTGGGTACGTAAATACTCCCGAGAACCAAAATCCTATTTCCTGATATCAGTAAGAAAACCCATATATTCAAAAAGCCCTTAGAGGTATCCATCTGGCCTACTTAATAGTCTATATTAAAAAGCTTTTTTTCGTACTACCTACGAGTACCTCGCTTATTCCTCGACTACTTAAGGGGTATTATTGTAAGATAGTTAGTCATAAATTGTACTTGTAGGTTTGTTGATGATGTCATTTCTGGGAGCAATTGAAGTGACTTAGGAAGAGGTCAATTTCTAACGCATGCGAGAAATTATTTATAGAGGGCTAAGTAGGTAGTGGTAGACTGCGAGTATATGTGCATTCTTTCATGCGTCTGTTACTCGTACAATATTCATTTCACAAACAGCGAAAATTGCGATGTTCAAACAAAGTGTTGTCGGTATTGTTTGCTTTGATCCAGTCCGATCCCCTAGTATGTTTGCCATATGACTGCTAGGGTGTTTCGCTCGTTTAAGCCATTTCGCTGCTAGCTTAGAGAATACAAGCCTTCTCCCCCGAATTGCATTTAACAATACGAATAGAGATTAAGATATCTCTATTCCCTTGGGGTACGACTTAGTGAATATTTCATTTGATTACTATATTTATATTCTACCCGCGTGTGCAAGTAAAAGACCGGATGAATCAATCCTAATACCAGGAAGCATGAGAATATACACCAATAACATCTGTCCAAACACATTGCAAATATCCAAAAACGGCCGAAGAGCACGTTTCAATTTCTATAGCTTGTATATAGTCTACTTCAACCCCCTTTCAAACTCCAACAAGTCTTTGATATACTTCTCTTCCATTACTAAATCTCCCCTCTCCTTCTCCATAGGCATCAATGGTCGTCTCGGCTCGCCTCCATATCCAAAAAGACGGTTAAGTAGCATTTTCATCCCTGAAATCTGTAAGATCTATTAGCAACCGAAATCCACTCTTCCAGAAAAGGTAACAACCCCCAATTTTAATGGCAACCCCATCAGCATTCGCAATCAAATTCTGCACCCTCTGCGCCTCCGCATAACTTCCACTCCCAGGGACAGCTTGACACAACTCCCAAAACCTAACACAAGTCTTGGGTGCAAAATTCGCAAGTCCAGTAATAGCCCCCGAACTCCCTGCCGCCATACTCGGCAGCAAGAAATCAATGAATCCATCAATGACCCTAAACGGCGCCGTTTCCACCTTTCGAGGATACTCTGTTGCAAAAGACTGCTCATTCACGATAGATGTTATACGCGTGAGTTTACCCACGGCACCACATGTAAGTTTTATCCCGCAAATATTCGGGGCGGATTTTGCGATGGAGAGGATGAGATCGCTTTGCATGTCGATTCCTGATGTTACCGCTGGGAAATTATATATCATTCTGCTTTTTATTGGCGGCACATTTCTTTTTTTTCATCTCCCATTCTTGCTTCCTTACCCAGGAATTGGACTCTCGGCCGCAACTTTTATAAAATAGTTCTTGATAGCTAGCATGTAATTTGCTACTAGGGCACCTGCGTAATATCCTGGAGGCAAAGCAATTGCGAAATCTGCGCCCGATTTCGCTGCTGAGTGAGCTAGTTGGATGGTTTCTCGTGTGCTTGTTGCGCCTATTCCGGCGACGATCGGGACATGCTGGAGGTTCGCTTCATCGAGGGCTTTTCGTGCTGTGAGTATGAGCAATGTGCGTTCTTCGGAGCTCTGGATTGGATCATGTTGTTAGGAAGTTTCTAGATGAGGAGGAGAAATGAGAACTCACGAGATGCGGTGCTTCGCCCAAGGTGTTATGGTGGGGATCAAGGAATAGATTGTTCGCAAGGAGGGAAGAGAGACGCTCTTCGCATTCCTTAGGTATTTGTCTATCTACGGAAGGGTACACCCGCAACTTCGCTAAGCGAACCCTTATTCACTAAATCAAAAACTGTCACATAAGGTCCCCCTTTCCCTCTCAGTTTCCCCGGCTCTCCTTTTCCTCTTCACAATCCTCCAAGGCTTGTAACCGTTCGTCCTCAGCAGGTTTTGTCTTACGTGGAAAACGTTTCTCAAACTGGCGGATAGAGGCAGTACTACGCACCACGTGAGCTAATGGTTCCCATGAGTCTGCTTCCGCCCCGTAGCCTCTCCATCAAACAAGGTATTGAAATCCTTTGTTCTTATTCCTCCTTGAGTTTACTATCTCTTCTATTGCCCAGAGCACATATCCACTGTCATCGACCGCAACGGGGGGTGGTGGTTGATTAGTCTGGCCTGGCATAGGAACACCTGCGGCAGGGCGTAGTAAGTTGGTATGAAAGACATTGTGAATCGATTCCAGTTCGTACGGTAATTCCAGTTTATATGCGTGAGAGTTCATGACTTGTAGTACGCGGAAGGGGCCAATATACTTAGCGTCAAACTTAGGGATCAGCCTAGTTGACTTAATGTTTCGGGTACTAAGCATAACCATATCCCCTACCCTGTATGCTGGGGCTGGTGATCGGTGAGTATTAGCCGCTTCCTCCATCTTGTCTCTAGAGGCAATGAGGTTTGTATGTAGGAGTGCTAAGATATCCCTCATCTTCTTAGCAAAAATCAAGCCCGCAACTGCGTTCTGGGAAGTAGATGGAATCCGAGGGGGGCTAAAGCTCATTCGAGGGTGGTATCCGTTGTTCGCAAAGAAGGGTGACATGCCTGTAGCTGAACTGAGCACGTTCCTCATCGCAAATTCAGCTAATGGTAGGAACTGAACCCAATCCTGTTGAGCATAGTTGATGTACTGGCGGAGGTACTTGGAAATAGATTTATTTGCGATCTCAGTTTGGCCGTCTGTTTCGGGGTGATATGCAGTAGAAAGGTCGACTCGTACACGTAATATGTCACAAACCGCCTTCCAGAATGCTGCAATAAACAGAGAGCCTCTGTCAGAGATAATAGAATCCGGTAAACCATGAAGCTTCCAAATATCTCGAATAAATAAGCGAGCAAAGTCAGCTGCAGTCTGCTTTGAATGGCATGGGATAATGTGGCAATCCTTTGTAAGCCTATCAGTAACTACCATAATCTGGTCGCAACTATCTACTGTCATAATTGGACCCATGAAGTCAACAGACAGGTCCTTCCACCGCTGAATTGGGATAGGGAGAGGCTTCAAAGTACCCTGATATCGTAGCTGGGAGAGCTTATTCCGAAGGCAATTCTCACAGGCTTTGACAAACTGCCCAATGTCCTTGTAAAGTTTAGGCCACCAGTAGTCCCTAGACACTAGCTCGAACATCTTGTCTTTGCCTGGGTGACCGCTCTCAACTGAATCGTGAATCTTCTGAAGAAGCCAAACTCTTAGCTCCGTGTCTGGGACATATAGTCTATCCCGGAAGTAGAGCTTGCCATCGGTGATACGACATTCTGACAGGGCTACTTCCTTTGAGTGAGGTGTACGGTCGGCTCTATTCATCTCCTGGGAAATCCGAATCCAAAATAGGTCTTCTTGATAGCCCTCGTTGAGGAGCCGAGTAAGTTTATGATCATCTAGTTCGTCTAGGTCTTCTTCCTCAGGCTCAGGGGAGTCTCCAGGTGTTTCTAATTCATGAGATCCATTCTCGTTAGACTCTAGCTCCTCCTCAAGAGGTGCTTTACGAATGGACGGGTCTAAGTTGTGAGGCTTCAGGAGTGACTGTTGCTGGTATAGAACTCGAGGGTCGTTAGGCGAGGAGGGTAGGTCTTGAGAAAGCCGGGTTCTACTGTCTGCTTTCACCATCGCTTTCCCAGGCACTGACTTGATAACAAAGTCAAATTGAGAAAGGAACTCACTCCAACGTACTTGGCGACGAGTGAGCTGCTTCGTTGTCATAAAGTATTTTAAATTTGAATGGTCAGTGATAACCGAGATTGGGTAGGCTACTCCTGAGAGTTCTGATCGCCACGCTTCAAAGGCTCGAACGACAGCTAATAGCTCCTTATCATAGATCTCATAGTTACACTCAGCTGGATCAAAGACTCTTGACATGAAAGCAACTGGGTATAACACTCCATCGTAATACTGGGAGAGAATAGCAGCAGACACGTAGTCTGAGGAGTCGCATTCTAAAATAACCTCCTTTGTAGGGTCAAAATGACGTAGTGTAGGCGCTGAAGTAAATGCTAACTTCAAGGTCTCAAAGGCGTCAGTACACTCTGTAGTCCAGTCCCAGCGTACGTTTGACTTAGAGAGACGATTCAGTGGCTTAACTATCCTGGAGAAACTTCCAATAAAGCGACGATAAAAATTTGCAAAGCCTAGGAAAGCCTGTAAGTCTTTAAGGTTTGAAGGTACTTCCCACTCGACGATTGCGGAGACTTTTCCAGGGTCCATTCTCACTCCGTCAGTTGAGATGATCATGCCAAGATACTGAACCTCCTGGACTTCAAATTCACACTTCTTGATGTCCAGGTAGAGGCTAGCCTTCTGAAGAGCTTCGAGGACTTGGTGTACGTGCTGGCGGTGAGAGAGTAGGTCATCTGAAAAGATCAGGATGTCATCGAGATAAGCTGTACAAAAGATATCCAGGAAGGGGCGTAAAACCTCATTAATTCTGGCTTGAAATGTTGCAGGAGCGTTGGTTAAGCCAAACGGTACAACCAATGACTCAAAGAGGCCGTACCGAGTGTTGAATGCTGTTAGCCACTCATCTCCTTCTCGCATCCTAATACGGTTGAATGCTGCGACGACGTCTAGCTTAGTATAGTACCTAGCTGTGCTCAATCGTTGAAGGGTCTCTTGAATACGAGGGATCGGGTATCGGTTCTTGATCGTAATATTATTAAGCTGTCTGTAGTCTACACAGAAGCGCAGGCCCCCTCCTGGCTTCTTAGCAAACAACACAGGTGACGCTGCTGGCGATGTACTAGCTCGAATAAAGCCCTTGTCAAGTTGTTCTCTCAAGTATTTCCGTAAAACTTCCAGTTCTCCGACAGACATGTTGTATAGTGGGCCATGGGGTACTTTTGTTCCAGGTTTTAATTCAATGTGGAGATCGCAGTCTCTGTGAGAGGGTAGTTTATCTGCAGCTTGTGGTTGAAAAAGCGGAAGGTGCTGGTGATATTGCTGAGGCAGTAAAGGGGTTGGATCAATAGTCTTTGGGTTATTGTACTTGTCAAGACTCTTCCGGATATCATCAAGTGAAACCCCTTGAAGGTACAGTTCAGCTGCTTTCCGGTGACGCTGGGACTGCTAGTGTACTGCTTGGTTTTCGGTAGAATCTTTAGGATGGAGCTCCTTTTCCATGCGCTTGTAGCCTGTGAGACCATCGTCTGCTCGGTGTTCAGCCGGTGCTGGCGGGGGTAGATCAAGGTGTTGCTGGCCAGTAAGCTCCTTCAGCCTCCGGTCGATTTCGTATAATGATAGGGAGAAGACTTCTACGTCTTGTTGTCTAGTGTAAGAGTGGAATGCTGCTGCTCTAATTATTTTTGGGGTCCCTTTAGTAGCTTTGGTTTGACCGTGGACTCGTACTCTGTCCTTTTTCATGTGGTGTTTACAGTCTTGGCCGAACTGCAAGGTGTTCTTTCTCCAGTTAACTAAAGGGTTGTGTCTTGTAAGCCAGGGCTTCCCTAGTATAACCTCATGAGAGCCAAGTTTAGTAACGTAGAAGCGGTGTTGATGGTCGATGTGCTGGCCTATATGAAGGTCAAGGGTGATGTAGTGAGTGACATCCCCAGCCGACGAAGACGATCCGTCAGCTGTACGAAGGCGGCGGGGCTTTGTTAGAGGTTCAAGAGTAAAGTTGTTCCGTTGCGCATAGTCAGAATCGATGAAAGCTTCAGCTGAAGCGCCAGAGTCAAGCATAAGGTAGGTGGTAGAAGGTTTTGTATTATTAGTACTAACTAATTTACAAGGAACCTCCATCACACTTTCTCTCTGCCTTTCCTCTAGTGACGACAACATCAAAGCCTTCCTCCGACTTCCACGTCTCTGGCAGCGACTGTTGACAGAGACTAGGCTTTTCCCTCATCCTTACTCTTTCCCTTCTACGCTCCTCCTTCCGGCGGCGAGCTTCCTTCAACTTGTCGCAACCCTGAAGACTATGTGTCTTTTCGTCACAGTAGTGGCAGAGATTGTGCTCAATTTGGAATTTCTTGCGGGCGGCCTTCAACTCAGGGGTCTTGGCNCTATGTGTCTTTTCGTCACAGTAGTGGCAGAGATTGTGCTCAATTTGGAATTTCTTGCGGGCGGCCTTCAACTCAGGGGTCTTGTCCCAGGTCTTGTCCTCAACATCCTTTCAAGTCCAGACATACTTTCCTCCAACCTTTATAGCATCCAGGTCCATTACATCAGGGTCAGAGGGTGAGGAAGTAGACGCTAGAGTGTATGGAGTAGCATTGAAGAGGCCAGAGTTACTCTTAAAGTACCGAGTGCCGTGGACAGCTCGGTTGATTTTGTCTTTCTCTCGAATCAGGTCAGCTAAGGCGTTATGTTCAATGGCCGAGGTGTAGCGAGGGTCTGAAAGGATACGGTCCCGAATAGAGGGGTGGATAGCAAGGACGAGTCTCTGGGTACAGTCGAATCCA